GTCTTCCTTGATCTCTTTTTTAAACAGGACATCATTTACTTATCTCCAAGCATGTAACAGACAGGGACTGTGCCTTTCTTGCTATTTACCACATACAGAACAATTAATAAACTTGACTGAAACTGTGACAAAAACTGAACCAATCCGCATTGTGTAAACAAAAAGAGCATGTAGTAAATTTGAGTCTGCCATGGTAATCACATGAATACCTTGAACTTCCGGCTGGTAGGACGTACAGTGTGACCAGAGAACACAATACATTTTATTTGTGTATTTCAGTGGGAAGAGTTATATTTTGTAGCTTTATTAAATGTTGAACTAACTCAGGAGAAAATCACCTGATGAAATAAAACAAAACTATTTCATGCTCCTGCTTTTCTCATCATAGTGTAGCTGTTAAAGCTTTCAATTATCAAGTTTACTAGTGTCCTCCTTTACCTCCACTTTTATGATTGCCGATCAATGCCTGTGAATATATCTGTTATCTCCTCCTTATCATCTTCTCCATGTACCTCACAGGAGTGTTAGGAGAAGGTTTAAGGTTATTCTGTGCCTTCTTTCCAAGTCTCTGCTTACGATGATCTTCATGAATATATTTCTATTACTAAAAAAAAAATAACTGGATGCTCACCTCCTGAAAGCCCTTGATGGCCTTCAGCATCAAATCCCCCAGCCTGTGACAGTCCCCATTGACCTGTGGTTGGATCTTGCCCTCCCTGTATGTGCAAAATTGAATGAGTGTCAACATAAGTGGAAAACTTAACAATTGTTGATACAAGTAAAAAACTTAACAAGTATTATTACAAGCAGAGAACCGAACAGGTATTAATATAAGTGGAGAACTAGACAAGTATTAATATAAGTGGAGAACTGGACAAGTATTAATATAAGTGGAGAACTGGACAAGTATTAATATAAGTGGAGAACTGGACAAGTATTAAAATAAGTGGAGAACTAGACAAGTATTGATATAAGTGGAGAACTGAACAAGTATTAATATAAGTGGAGAACTGGACAAGTGTTAATATAAGTGGAGAATTGAACAAGTGTTAATATAAGTGGAGAACTGAACAAGTATTAATATAAGTGGAGAACTAGACAATTATTAATATAAGTGGAGAACTGACAAGTATTAATATAAGTGGAGAACTGGACAAAGTGGACGAACATATAAAGTGGAGGAACTGACAAGTGTTAATATAAGTGGAGAACTGAACAAGTATTAATATAAGTGGAGAACTGAACAAGTGTTAATATAAGTGGAGAACTGAACAAGTGTTAATATAAGTGGAGAACTGACAAGTATTAATATAAGTGGAGAACTGAACAAGTGTTAATATAAGTAGAGCGGGAATAAATAAGTGGAGAACTGAACAAGTATTAATATAAGTTGAGAGAACTGACACAAAATTTATGGAGAACTGGAATATATAAGTGGAGAACTGGACAAGTATAGATGGAGAAATTGAACAAGTTCACTCAAGTATATTTGTGTAAATCAGACAACAAACGCATGAGACTACAGCCAAATTAATCAAATGTTTGCTTCTGATTATACTCCTTCTTCAGATAATAACCTGATACTCTGCAAACAAACAGTTTACTTTCCAACTAGAAAAAAAGAGACATTTACTGACCAGGCTGCAAGCCTCTGCTCCACTTCCTTCAGAAAACTGTAATGGTAGTTGTAGATAGGATCAAAGTACTGGAACAAAACCTCAGACATTGAGTTCAGTATAGCTGGATCACAGCTCACAGCATTTCGGAACCACTGCAGATACAAACAGAATGTTTAACATGACAGTTTATTATACACAGCATTTCAGAACCGTTTTTTATATATCAAAGCTGAAGGGTTAACAACTCATGGTTTCTGGATTTAAAAAAATATATTATACAGAAGGGTTATACATGCTCTCTGCCCTTCTTTCTAATAGATCTTCCTCACACAAATATACAACACTTCAAAACTAAACACACAAACAAAACCTTTCATCTGAGGCTCTAAGTAGAAACATAACATTTAGCTATACATAACACAACTAGAACTGACCACTGGAAAGATCTGTGGAAGGAGGGATAGAGGAAGACAACGAGAGAAGATTCTTGACAGTCTTGCTGCATGGCATGGAGGTGTGTCAGCACAGGAACTAATTCATGCTGCAGGAGATCACGGATTGTGGAGAGGCATGATCACCGTCGCCAGTCGGCAAGGCAGCTGATGATGATGACACATAACAGTATCTCCTAACCCCAACCACTGTACAAAAGTTTCTCTTACTTTGTGTCCTTGATCAGAACATACTAATGAAATGTGGCTGTTCCCTAACTGGGTCACCAGCTGAACATTTGTTGACTGACTAATGTTTAACCTCACTAGGTGACATAAAGTGCCACCATTCCGAAAAGAATCACTAGGGTGCAAGTCTCAGACACCCAGTTCAACCTGTATGTTATATTTAGGATCCCCAACATCAGCCGGGGTTGGGATTTAAAATTTCAAAAATATATGTCCCACATTGGGAAAGGAATATGTGTTGACTACTGACCAGTTAGTTAACTCCACCTTTGTCAGTTAAATGCAATAATCAACTTGGTGTTTGCATGTATGAGGTGTGTCCATCTGTTACAGGGACTCTCTCTATCTCTCACACACACTCATACACATACACACGTGCGTGCGAACATGCATGCATGCACATATACAGAAATACTGAACCAGTATTTATGAAATTTGCCCTCCATTTGCTGCTGGTGTAGGCAACTGAAGTCTGACTGCTCAAATGTTGATTTGCCAAGATCTGAGACATTGTCCTCGGAGCATAACCAAAGAAATGCAGCAAGAGTGTAGATACATGAAGATGAAGATTTTCTTTGACCAGCATTAAAAAAAGCGACAACTGCAGAGATGGCTATTGAAGGTTCTTATGTGGGTTCCACTATCTTATTTGGAGAAACAGACCAGCCCCCCTTTCCCCAACACAAATGTAACTAATTAGGAGTTTGGGTGGTGGCAGACAATACATAAACAGAAGCAAGGCTATAAGGCTGTCAACAAGTGCTCAAAAAAGTACCTGTCAGATAACATTTAAATGATGATGGTGTCATGAGATGAGATTTTGGTTCACCTTTATGACTCCTTAACTAAAAGATTCAGCAAGTAACGACAAGCAGTGAAACACTGGACTCCCCAACAACAACTGTCACATTAACAGCAGAGACATTTCGGAAGAGGGGGGGGGGGGGGGAGGATGCCCTACTGAAAGGTTACTCAAACATCGATTTTCACCAAACCAAGAAATGCTTTTATTTTTCTACTCCTTTTCTTTCTCCAGCTATATCACTGAAGTGATGGGGGCAGATGTAAAGATCTTTATGTGTGCTTTTTCTAATGTGTTGCATAAGTCAATCACATCCAAGAAATTAACATGCCAGAAAAAGGAAGCTGTAGATAAATGACTAAAATAGGTAACCATTTTAACAGCTTCGGTCTTACCACACACAAAACCTCCAGATCCTTCTTGTATGTTCTCTCTGTCATCAACAATTCTTTGGCAATATAGTAGGCAGTATCTGTTGGCCGGTGCTGAAGACACAGATTAATAATACCATTAATCAGACTGAGGCACGGGATAAAGTGTTGCAAAAAACACATTCATACTATCATTACCTCTTTGTTCCAAAGCAGCCCACAATGTGTAACTGACTGTCAAAGTCTCAAGTGTAACTGTGTTCCTGTATGTTTGGTAAGAGCAAGGTGAAGAAATCTGACAATTTATTGGTGTCTTACAAGATGTATGTACCTGGCCTCTTCAAAATGTATTCCTGTGGTTTTGATGTTGTCATTACTAGTTTTCTCAAGCATCAGATGAACCTTTCAGGCCCAAAACAGGTAATGAGACTGAGGCATAGGTGGAATAATTGTTGGTTGGTCGTTATATGTTCAGCTTGGTATATGTTTAACTTGGCATATGTCCTGTTTAGAGGCCCAATCTTTTGCTTAGTATGTGATCTGTGTTTGGAGGCAAACATAACAAGACTGTAAAAACAAATTTACAAAAACCCATACACAAACTGAGGTAAAGGTTAAAGAATAAAAGTGCTGTCAGAGAAACAATCATAAAACCCTTAATCAACCTGGGAACTGATTATTAGTTGTGTCTGCAACGCCTAACAGCATTGGGCAGAGAAAGACAACAGAAACATACAATCTGAGAAAAGGTTGATTTTTTGTTCTCTCAAAAGGAATAAATTCTTCACCAAGGACAATTTTAGTCTGCCATTTTTGTTACTAATGGTAATAAAACATGACTTGTTTACAAGAGCTAACTAAAATGACTTATCTTAATCACTGATATTGAACAAAACAATACTATTACCTTAGTCTCTGTAAAAAAACAAAAACAAAAAACCACACACTCTTTCTTCAAAAAACTCTACATGAACACTTCGAACTTTGCAAACTATGTAGACAATATACATGGCATCTTTGTTTGTTGAACACTTCGACCTTTGCAAACTATGTAGACAATATACATGACATCTTTGTTTGTTGAACACTATGACCTTTACAAACTATGTAGACAATATACATGACATCTTTGTTTGATGAACACTTTGACTTTTACAAACTATGTAGACAATATACATGACATCTTTGTTTGTTGAACACTTCGACCTTTGCAAACTATGTAGACAATATACATGACATCTTTGTTTGTTGAACACTTCGACCTTTACAAACTATGTAGACACTGGTTGCTGCAGAATGTGGAGCTCATTAGAAACTGCAAGCCAATTCTCAATGCTGCTCTATAAGCTTGAGAACTAGTAAAATCCCCTTTATAATGGTATGCTATCAGCAAGTTGTTATAAGTCTAACTGCTTGATAAAACTACTTTTATGAATTTCTACAACTGTTAACCTACCCGAACTTTCCTCTTGTGATCCTCCTCTCTGTCCTGAGATAACAAGATGCTGCCTTCATTCTCCGCCCTCACTCCGTTTTCTCCCCGACTGCGGCCGCCAGTGCCCATCCTGCTCAAATTTGCCATGTCCCCTACCTCACTCAGCTCATGCCTCTGGTATGAGTCCTCATCCAGCATAGACGGAAACTTGCTGTGATCCTCGGCTGACATATCAATATGCCTGTCCGACAGAGATAGTGCATCCGTGCGCTTTTTGGTGCCTATCAAATAGTTTTCATCATTGACTACAAGGGACTGAAGTTTTTCCTCGAGCCTCTTCTGGCTGGAGTGAACATCTGATGCCTTCATCTGCAGACTGATCCCATCAGTGTGGTCTCTTCTTCCGTTCTCATCCGTAATATCATCTGGCACAGGAGGCAGAGGCTCGTCATCTTCAAAAGGTGGTGGAGGCGGTGGCGGTGAAGGTGGCGGCGGTGGGAGATCATCAATGTCATCTGACCGATCAGAAGCCTGGAGGATAACCTTTAAACTTGAGCTGCGTTGGGGAGGGCTGTGGACAAAAAAATTAAATTAAATCCAGATTAAAAGCTGTCATAAATATACTGGGAGTTTAAACAACATGAAAAAATACTGTAACCTCTCCCTGTACAAATCAACTGACCACATATTTGCTGATTATTCTATTCACAGATGACACCTTTCTGTCAGTCCAGATGAAGGTATTACTTTGTGTTTAGACAGACATGGTTTTTCACAGCTGATCCCATTTACAGTATACTCTTCTTAACTAAGCTTGCATGACAAACTTACATTATTATATGCATCCAAATTGCTATTTTAACTCCTTCTTCACAATCAAACTTTATTATTTTTTTAAACACAATTATCTCCAAAATGTATCCTTTTTGGGGATAAAAACTTGGGATAAAACAGTTAACTCTTTTAGTCCCCGCATCAGATGCTATTTGATAACCACCTGACTGCCCAAACAGTGTGACCCGCAAGGGTTTTCAGTTTACTACTTGTCATGTAACAGGATCAACTCCCCTGCCACAACAGACTTGTCCACATTTTGGACACCAAAATGCCAATTAATTTATTTATATCTCGGATGGTCAGTCCGTGTGTAAATGGTTCTTTTGTTATTTGGGGTCCAGATGTTGGAAATAAATGCAGATCAATTCTTATTTTAATCCTTCTTGACGAATAGTGTCAGTGTATATGATACAACACGTTATCCATGTCTGTTGAAACTTACTGTTTTGACCGCATCACTACTAAGCTTGAGCCATATCATTGCCCAACAGTTGTGGTTAAGAACTAGTATTCTCTACGTCACTTTTGCTTAGACTGTTCAAGTGTGCAAATGCGTATCGGCGCTGTGGCCATTTGACCGTTATTGATGAAAGTCTGTTCTGCCAGATATTTTTCATCAGCATGGGTTGAGTTTGTCATAAAGAGGGAATATATATTTGTGCTTAATTGCTGTGTGTGTATGCGAGAAAAGGTAAGAGAAATGATAACACCAAATCTTTCTGTTCACGATCGCTTTTGACGTGAGGCAGAGGAATCGGAGGAGTAAATGCACTTTCGGAAAGTATTTCTTCTTAAATCCTTCTAGCCTGCGTTCTAGACCTATTCAGATCAATCAATCCACTTGTCTGGAGTGTAAATTGAAGTCTTGGTGAACTTGTATGATCCGAGATAATCGTTTAATTGAACTCCTAACTTGGTAAGTCAAATAACGGTAAGAAGAATAGGCGGCACTAAGTTAATGAGACATGATGTTACATCCCCTGTTGCTAGGAGAGGATGAAATCAAAACAAAAATTGAGCATGGAAAAGTTTGAGGGATCTATCTTATCTGCTTTATCTTCTAAATGGTAAGATAGAGATCTATGGGGATAGAGACAGATAGATGTCTAACTTGCTTTCGCTGAGAAACAGGTTTGGGGACTGTTTGAATCAGTGTAAATGTCCGACTAACTCTTACACTCACTCTAGGGAATTGTAAAGGCTCCTGAGGGAAGAAGTCAACCTTAATGGTCTTAACGGAGATCGAGAGGTGTGATTAGCAAGGTATATCAGGTGAGGGTTGTGAGAGGTGTGATTAGCGAGGTATATCAGGTGAGGGTTGTGAGAGGTGTGATTAGCGAGGTATATCAGGACAGGGTTGTGAGAGGTGTGATTAGCGAGGTATATCAGGACAGGGTTGTGAGAGGTGTGATTAGCGAGTTATATCAGGTGAGGGTTGTGAGAGGTGTGATTAGTGAGGTATATCATGTGAGGGTTGTGAGAGGTGTGATTAGCGAGGTATATCAGGTGAGGGTTGTGAGAGGTGTGATTAGCGAGTTATATCAGGTGAGGGTTGTGAGAGGTGTGATTAGTGAGGTATATCATGTGAGGGTTGTGAGAGGTGTGATTAGTGAGGTATATCAGGTGAGGGTTGCTCATGTATATTGCCTTGTTGATTACAGGATGCCAGAAAATCCAACGAGAGTCGAGGCACAAGTCAAGCTTTCTAGTCAACCATCAACCTGTGAGACCAACCAATATCGCAACGCCACCTTCTCACATCTTGTGCCCATTTGTAAGGTAACATGTGTATTACCATGCTCGACGTCTGATTTTCATCACAGATGGAACCATACAATAATCGTTAACCATAACATGCTGACCGTCTAGTAAAGTCAACGCCAGTAAGTCTCTGCGAGGACTGGCAGATCATTCCACTTGTCTGTGGGGAGAACTTGTGATCTACTGTGTTGCTTGAAAACCCAAAGAATTGCGGTGATCTATACTTTCATGCTACAGAGGAGCTTCTGGATTTCACCTAGATAAGTCCCGTAATATCAAGCGAGTCTCTTGGCAGCCGAAACCAGAATGTACCTTGTAATCCCACTCTGCCCTCCGTGCCGTGATGAGACTGTTTGTGGCACCCGAGGGAGACCCGTCTTCTAGTACTCATTCTTTAAGAACATTTTGAACTTCCATTCTGTTCCTGTTTAATCTACGTTTTGTCTTGTCCCATTACAGTATATCTGTTACATTATAATCTTCGTCTAAAAAGTTTCTTGTTCTTAGATAAAAGTTGTCTTGATCTAATTGCTTATTGTAGTCAAAGTTGTAACAATGTCTCGTCAGACCCACTACTGTGTTAACGCTGTTTTCCAGTCTGGGGACGAACAGTGTGATGAGGAAGTCAGGCCGAGCTGTACCCAAAGATTCACATTAATTCTGTGGAGTCAGAAATCGAGTCACCTCATCCCTGAGATAGGTTGAATGTATGTTTGGACCGAGGACTTAGTACCTAGACAAATAAGAGCCAACTTTCAGAATAACCTTGTTTCAGAGTACCCGAGGATTTTAGGTAAATAATCCAGAAATAAAGGCACATGACAAAACTGTCATACAACACTACTGACCAGTATAAAAGCATGAACTGGACATTTGAAACTTACTTTCAGATTCTTTGCGTTCAATAACATTTGTGTTAACCATTAGTTTTATTTGGAAATGTGGTTAAAGCCTAAAATATATTATGTTTACAAAGTTCACAGAGTTACTAAGTGTTTGTTCAATAATAATATGGCCGCTTAGCAGTCTTCTACATATGCTAACCTGATTTATGGCTTCAGAAATCTCACATATAGAGAAAATATGTGTTTATCATATTTATCCAAAGTTAGACAGAGAAAGTGGTGAAGTAAACTTGTTTCTATCATTTACAGAGTCAAACGTTGATGAGGGATAGCTTGGATGGGGGAAAGAAGGGGGGGGGGGGGGGTGAATAAATCCATGGCCCCTCCAAGTGGCATATTGTAATAGACAACTAATTAGGCGTCTTGAGGAAACTGGATATGTGGGGCTGAAAGGGGCACATATCACAGTCTAGCTATAAACCACAACACAACACACCAACTGCTTATTTAAGGACGTATGCAAAAGAAAGAGTGAGAAAAAGAACTATTTGGTTTTAAAAAAAAAAAGTATACCTGGGCAACGGTAGTTTTACAGGTATGCTGTGTTCTTCTTCCACAACCTCAGGAATGTTCTCAATCTCGGCCGTCCGTGAAAGGCGATGATTCTCCTCGATGATGTCTTCTTCCTCCTTGTGGTGGGCACCGATGACAGGGGCTGACAACTTGCGATCTTTCAACGACAGTCCATGTGTAACAAGGGCAGACACTGAGAAGAAAGAGTTAACTCATTATTCAGCAGATCAAACTGTACTCACATCAACAGAGATCTGTTCAGATACATGCTGATATAGTCTGAACAGGATATCGTTTAAATGACTCCTGCTACTACTACTACAGCATTTGTTCAGCTTTGCTAACAGATCTGCTTTCTCATTGCCAGGAATGCTGGGGTGGGCTGGTATTTTAGTAGTTCAGATATGCTATAATTTCTTTTTTCTAAAAAATATACTTTTTGTCTGTAAGTTCCCTCGACTGTGATTCTTCCTAACCCTAATTATTAGGTACTGTTAATTCTCTTGAAATCTGCTCAGGCCATTGAAGCACATTGAATCTTTTCTTCTTCTTCTGCTGCCTCACTGTGTTGCTGCTGGCTGTGATATCAGCATCTTTTGGTCCAGTTGGGCAATTTGTATATGAATTTAAATCTGGCAATGAAGTCAGTCACCTTGCCTTTGAACTTCATTTCAAATACAAAGAATGAGTACTGCAATGGCCAACTGTTGTGAGGTTTTTTAGTAGTATAGGAGTCATGTTGAGGCCATAAACGGGCAAACCGATGCCCATTTTTTTCTACAGCTGTGGGTAAATTATTGATTTTTGGTTGTCGCAAACAAAGTGCCAACAGAATGGCGTTATATAAGTGTGAATCATTCCCTGGCTTTAATTATATGCTCGCCCACCCAGTAGGGTGGTCAAAGTGTCAGATGTGTTTACAGCTGGGCTGTGATATTTCATAATATTTCAAACAGGTTTCTTAGTGTGTCGGGTATTATTAGTCCCAGAGGCATTTCTGAGCTAGCTGTGCTATTTTCTGACTGGTCAGTAGAGATCAGTGGAGTATGTGAGAGTGTGTGTATATATGTATATATCTATATCTATATATCTATCTATATATATCTATATATATATTTATATATAGGAAAATATAAAGTGGTCAGGTATGATCAATGAAGATTCCACGTTTTGTAGCTATACTCATAGTGATTATGGATTTTCGAGTGTCGCCCTATAGTATTTTGTCCTCAGGTTTATGTCGGTCGTGTATAAGGCAGACGGTGGGCACCCTTATTATTAGAGTTTTTAATAATGTGCGTTACAATATTTTGTCTTCGAAGACTGCCAGGGTAACCATCCAGACTGTGTCCTTCTGTTCATATTTACAAAATAAGGAAGCTTAAGACATAAATCAATATAAATTTGAAAATACAACAAGTAAATACATACAAACAATAAGGATGCATATAAACCAAAATTATGAATATAAACAAAACTTTAACATCTGCCACTAGACACAGCTCTTTTTCATGTGCCCAGAGTGTACTGACATAAATTCTAGTTTATAAATATATAAAATTGTACTGACATGAATTCTCGTTTATAAATCTATCAAAGGATCAATTAAATGTGTAACAGCGTACAAAAGCAGAACAGATAAGAATAGAAAAGATGATTTATAGCAACAGGAGATTAATATGCAATCATATTTCAACAACGATAGATAAAAAAACCAGTGAATACATTCACACCTTGGTTTTGAGGACAACCATTTAACGGATATCAGCAACAATGGACCAAATCCACAGCAGCTTATTTCATATTTTGTTAGTTTAGAAGTTTAATGGGCATGCCTGGGACTGAGATGTGGGGACAACTCTTGACAAGAGCTGTTACTTAGTTGAAAATATGATATTTACAGTGTAAAAAAATTTCACATGCTGTAATTGATTTAAATCAGTTACTTCTTCCTTTAAATAAATAAACTTTTGAATTTAGGTTTTATGGACCTCACTTCTGTTTCCCCATATTGGTTCTGGGGCCCCAGTCTGGAGGGGAGAAGGACCACTGTGGCCTACTATAAACAAGCATTCCATAAATGGCAGATTTTTGCAGAAATCTTCTTCTTCTTCATGCCCACTGGCTGTAAACCCTGGCGGAAATGTCTGGCTATTCTTCCACTTGTGGCCTTTAGGCTTGTCCCAGGACTTGATTTTTTTTGCGTGCACATCAGTTTGACAGATCTGGCTGATTTGTATACCTTTTAAGCAGATACACGCTGGACTCTGAATTAGTCACCTACTTGGACATGCTTGGGAGGCAGTGAGCCATTCCCCCCCCCCCCCCCTTTCAGCCCTAACTCCCCCACATGGGGTCCCAGAACCTACATGGGAAAGACTGCTAAAATCAAATGCCTTTGGACAATGGCACAGATATTGCAGCCTAGCTGTAAACCACAACACAATGTAGCAGCTGGCCGTTTAAGGATGAAGGCAGAAACAGAACAAAATAACTGCAGACAACTGGCCACATGGGACACATGTTCTAATTCTTCTGTCCGTTACAACCAATAAAAAAAGACAGAAAATAACAACATATATACAGACAAGAAATATTACAGCACGTACCCAAAATGCATAACAAAATCCCCCAGACCTGGACCTACCTACTTATTATAGGTGAGCATATCAATTTTGCAAGCAGACAACAATAATTCATCACTCAAATGTACACACAGGAACTAAATGAGAACACAAAAGTCAACAGAAGAAACAAATGCAGGCTATAAAAGACTTCAAAGCCAAAAGCTAAAGGAATATTTAAACAAATAGGACATTCGCGGTAATTCATGACACCAGACCCAATCAATTCTTTAATGACACAACACAAGCCACATGCGACAGTCACAATCACAGCAGGGAATGCTTGATTACTGTCAGAGAATTACTTTTTTCATTGATATGTTCAAGGGACATTATACACTGATTAGATCTGGTTTCGGATTTAACACACTGGTATTTTTTATGTTCTGATAATAAATCAGGTAAGTTAATGCTAGGCTTCATCCCAGTGACCTTGTGATCAGTATGTGATATTATGGGCTGGTTTGCGTGGATTTTTATCGTGGTATGGGACGTCGCAGGTCGACCCAGCCTCAAATGGGTACCAGGATGGGCTGTCCTGGGAAAGTAAAGACAGCAGGCGTAATGCTGACCACATTACCCACCGAGTGCTGATGGTCTGTAAAAATATGGGCGCTCTTCCCATATGCCCGATACGCCTAAAGGCGTGAAAGGGATCTTTACTTTTTTACTTTTTACTATTTAAAAAAAACATGGTGCTGTCTCTGCAGTGAAAGTTGACTGTATCCACCGCTTACTATGGGAATATTACATGGTGAAGAACAAGAAGTAGGAACTTTTATCTCCCTCAACACCTAAAGCAGTAGAAGAGGAAGAGAAGAAGAAAAAGAAGAAGAAGAAGAAGAAGAAGAAGAAGAAGAAGAAGAAGAAGAAGAAGAAGAAGAAGAAGAAGAAGAAGAAAAAGAAGAAAAAGAAGGTATTGGACTGAGACATCTGGGGACAAAAGTAAAAAGTGAAGGACCTTTCTCCACACCATCAGGAGTATTAGGCATAGAGGGAGGGACCTATATTTTAGGGACTGATCGGCACCTGGTGGGTGATGTAGCCAACATCATGCTGGCCACATTTACTTCCCAGGACCTTATCCTGTTCTCATTTAAGGCTGGGTCGACCTGGGAGCAAAGGTCATTCTTGAACATATAATCTTCGGCATCTAACTTCTGCCTGTGATAAAAGACAGGAAGAACATTTCATTATCTTTGCTATGATCAAGAAACATACGGTCATTAGTTTAGTACTGAAAGAGATAGGGACAGCTAATTGGTTTATGCAAGAAATGGATGGATGGATGGTGCGATAGATGGATGGTGCGATGGATGGATAGTGCGACGGATGGATGGTGTGATGGATGGTGCAATGGATGGATGGTGAGATGGATGGAGTGATAGATGGTGTGATGGACGGATGGCACAATGGACGAATGGATGTGATAGATGGATGGATGAATGAATAGATGGTGCGATGGTTGGTGTGATGGATGGGTGAAATGATGGATGGATGGTGTGATGGATGGACTTGTAATCAACTTGGTGGGTGGAGGAATTGATGGACAGCTCAGTGACTAGATAAACAGTTTTATACCTTTGAGCAAATGGACGGATAGCTTGATGGGAAAACAGACTAATAAGTAACTTCATGACCGCATGGATGGTAAGTCTAAAAAAAAAGCTTCAGAAAACCAGTTCCTATAAACTAATTATTACAACTATACAGCTGTAGAAGACCCATTCTTACAAACCAATTACTACAACTATACAGCTGTAGAAGACCAATTCTTACAAATTAATTACTACAACTATACAGCTGTAGAAGACCCTATTGTCTATCTCTATTGTCTTCTTCACTTTTACCGGGTTGCAGCCCAGTGTCGTGGTTTAAAATATTTGTTTTGTGTCTCTCGCGTGATTTGAGTGACAGTTTTCTGGATCTTCTGGCCGTATTCAGCTACTGCATCTATCCATTTTTTCCTGGGTCTTCCTCTGGCCTTTCTTCCCGATGTTCTATTGTAAAAGGCCTTATAGGCAATCTGATCCGGTTGCATTCTTACTAAATGACCAAACCACTTCATTCTCTGTTTTTCAATATGTTCCATGCATGCTCTTGTTCCAACTTTGTTGCTGACGTTTGTGACTCTGTCTCTTCGTGTATTGTTGGTGACTCTTCGGAGACATCGCATTTCACACATAGTTATTTTTTGCATATGTGATTTGTTCATTGTCCACGTTTGGGACTGATAACATAACGTAGGGATGAAAATGCTGTTGATCATCCGTTGTTTGGCTAGTAACGAGATCTTTGGATGACGAAGAAGTGGGGCCAGTTGGTAGTTGATTGCATTGGCTTTTTGAACTCTAGCCTGTATCTCTTTATCGAGTCTTCCATCTTCTGTAAATCTGCATTCTATGTACTTGAATTCTTGAACTTGTTCTAATTGTATGTCATTGATCTGTATGCTTACATTACTGTGTTTCTTTCCTATGGTCATTACTTCAGTTTTTGAGGTGTTTATTTTCATGTCAAATTTTGTACAGTTAGTGAGCGATGAATCAACATGTTGTTGTAGTTTTTG